GGATGGATGGATGGATGGATGGATGGATGGATGGATGGATGGATGGATGGATGGATGGATGGGTGACCTTTAAGACATTTCAAATGCTTGTAAATGCTTTAAAAAGGGTCACCGGCGACCCGGTGGGTTTTGAGAGGTTAAAAATGTAAGGAATAGAAATCAGAAGTAGAAAGAAAAAGTAATGAAGTAATAATAAGTAATGGAGTTAAGTATAGATACCTAAAACGTTTACTAAAGTACAGTAACAAAGTATTTTTTCTTCATTACTTGACACCTCTGCTCATTAACTTATAACTAATGGTTGGTTAGTTGTTTAATCATAACCAGGATCACCATAGTTGATCAGTTTGAACATCTGAATTAGACCTAAATAGCCGTCTTTTCCAAATCAGTAACCATGGCTGCGTCTCAATTCGCAGGCTGCGTACTTGAGAATTGAGACGCAGCCCTAGAGTTGTTTGCCCTGAACATCCACCATCTTTGACCTTCAGGATACACACAGGAGGAGAAGCTGGAGATCGCTCACCGTCACCTGATCCCAAACCAGCTGGAGCAGCACGGACTGACCCCCCAGCAGCTGAACATCCCTCAGGAGACCACCAAGGACGTGATCAGCAGGTACCAGAACCGGGTCTAGGATAGGAACCGCTCTGCTGCTCTCTAGGATGGTTTAGACTTGTTTTTAGCAAGTCCTGATGCTACAGCTCGGTCTGCCCATAGAGGAGGAAATTGGTTGTTATCTCATCTTTATTTACCTGGAAGATTATTCTGACGTAACCATAACAACCAAAAAGGTTCTGTTCCGATTCTTTCTAAAGTACCTACAGGGTTTTCTTTCTTCTTCTACAGCTTTTCTCTGCTCCTGTAGGTGTTAACAGCGCCCCCTGTCAGCTTTTATTTCATTTTCATTAAAGTTTTTCCCATTATTCCGTCTCTGCTCCGACAGGTACACCCGGGAGGCAGGTGTGCGCTCCCTGGAGCGGAAGATTGGAGCGATCTGCCGAGCCGTGGCCGTGAAGGTCGCCGAGGGTCACAGAGTCCCGGAGACATTTTCCTCTGGACAGGAAGGTGGGGCCGTTTGTCTCTGGTGCTTTGGGATCAGCCTTAAAGCAGGACGTTCTGTAGAACTTCATGTTCTGGAGGAACCTTTTTTTTTTTTTTTTTTAACGTAATTATGGGATAATTTTGTCCCATTCTTCTTCTTCTTTTGTTGTTTTCTTGATGGACCTTGAGGGTAGATCCAGGGAAGGTGGGAGCTTCCACAGCAGATCTGAGGTGCTGCTGACATTTGGAAGGTTGGACAAGCAGCTCTGCTTGGGTGGTGTTGGTCCCATTTCCAATCACAAGAGGGTTTTCATGTCGTACCAGAGCAACTTAACAGATTTAGGTTTGGACTTGGACTAGGCCACTCCAAAACCTTCATCCAGATGTGGACTTCCTGGTCTGCTTAAGATCATGAGCTGATGTAATCCAGCTTCTGAGGCAACAGATCAGCCCCAGAACATCATCGTACCACCTTGACTGTTGCATTCATTCCAAACGTTAATATTCTGCCAAAGTTGAAATTCGTAGGGAAGCGGCCGTTCCAACCGTTTCCGAATTCTTCCGAGTGGTGGCCGACTTTTATACGAGTGAATAAAGGGAATGGGATTGGTTTATCAAGGAGGCGAGGTTGTTGTGGCGGAAGGTCCGCAAGCAAGTCTGGTTGTGCCCGATTTGTTGGAAGCATCTTGCTAAC